TGAAAAAGATGAACAGTAAGCTTATTTCAACAGACGTAAATATTGATAATAATAAACGTTTTGCTTTAAACCTAAATAATCTTTTTTGGGATTGATAAAAGAGTGTACCAAAGCTTATTTTCTCCGAGTTGCACATATACTGATTGAAGATTCAGCAAACGTTCCAGATTATTGAGTTCAATTAAACAGTCACGTTAGGCCAACTATATCAGGTATCTATTGATATAAAACCATAACAACATGGTCGAACCCCTTGTACTTATGGGGAAACTAATCCCAATCTACTATACATGTGCATGGCAATGTTTGTAAGGCACATTGTCCCTCGATACTGTGTACTGATCGTGTATAGCGTGCAGTTAGAGGACCTTTGACGTAGCGCTTTACTGTGCATCATTGATGACACTGTTTGAGTTTCGTTATTTTATCGTCCGCGCTAACTTTGTATATTATCTACGGTATCATTTAAAAAAAAATGAATACAGTATAAACAATTATTACACTTTCAAAATAGTATAATAAACTATCTGAAAATATTTCAGAGAATTAGATGATTTTGTTATCAATATTAATGTTGTTAATGTGACGAAAACAAATATAAATAATGAAATGGAAACAGAGACTAAAGGGTGTTCTGTTTTAGGTGATCATTGTACAGCTCATTGTGTATTGTTATTTGTTTTGTTTAGTATTGTTTGGTGTTCAGTATTTCGTAGAAGTAAGAGGAAGCATTCAGATAGTTGTTCCGTTCACATATTGTAGTTGTTTGAGTCCTAAACAGACGAAATATCCATATGTTGCAGTGAATATTTACTTTTTATTTATTTTTTCAATTTTATGCACCTACATCTAAAATTTTAAATATGTGTTTCTTCGCTTTGTATATGTTGTGATTAACTTAATACAAAATACAAATGGATTGGAAAAAGTAACAAATACATATATACAAATTAGAGCGTCTCGCAATAGCCTAAACAGTTTTAATATAAGCTAAAGATGAGGTTACATCAAAAGCGGCAAGACTAGGATTAGGGACACCAATGTATAGATTGTTGAACTATGTATTCGTAGGGTTTACTGGAGATAGCGTAATAGATTATATCACGTTTTGCATTAAGTGTAATCTGCAAATGCCACTTCTTCCTCAACATTATTTCAGCATCAATAGGATAAAATTGTCAACACTTATTTATTTTATAAGAGTAGCAAAGTGAAAGGATGTACCATTCCCATAAAGAAAGGACAAAAGTACATTTCTACAGTCAAATCTACAATTGTATAGCTCCAACATTAAATAAAGAATAAACACTACATGCTCTTAAACAGATTTTTAAAATTAATTTTAAGGTAAATCACTGGCATGTCAACAGGATAGTTATTTTCTTGTCGAAAAGAAAAAGGGATATCATTAAAATTAAACATAAATGAGAAATTGAAAAAAACGATTTCAAATGCTATTTATTTCCAATTTGTTGAAATGTGGATATCAAGGTTCAATTAATGTCACGACTTTGTTTTTAGTAGTCGCCTTAACATGATATCTGATAATACCTGGTATTATATCGATACCCTAGGTATACTACTTCAATATTTTTAAGAAGGCTGACGTCGACACACTGTTTACCGGCAGCATTAAAATATATATCATTTCTTTATAAAGAATAGTTCCGATTTTTGATTGTGGACATTATAAAATATGGTTTTAATTATACGGTTTCGGTGATTCTCGGCATAATTTCAATATTAGACATTTAGTTATTTTCCGAATAAATATTTATTAAATCTTTTTTTTTTTAAATTTACGACAATTTGCAATGGTCACGTTATTCTTGCTATCAACTCATTAACAAAAATTTGCCCTTTGAAGAGTAAATGAATTCAGATATCTCATCACTCAATATCTTTTCATATTTCTGTCACTTTTGAAGATATAAACCAGACAGTTCAATATGTCTTTTGAAGCTAAAAGAACTTTCGAATAAAAATCAGCATTGTATGCTAACTCAACAAAATATTATTTAATTTACAGAGACACAAAACCTATTATGAATTAACCTTTTTTATTTAAGTATATGTTATTTGTATCATACAATGTTATTCAAGCACAAGTTATCCAACTTATATTAAGCCTTTCTTTTGACTTCTTCTGACGAGTGTTAAATGGGCGACATGATAACATCATGCAGTAAAGTGTGTAGACTTTGTTCGACTTTTTGCATCGACAAATGCTTTTTTAAGTTGGCGCTTCTTTACTCCGTTATTCTGGTGAATTAAAGAGGTTCACTATTATTTAGTTATATTTAAAGTACATACATATAGTATAAATGTACAGCATGCATTTCTTCTAAAGTCTCACATGATTCAAGAAAGATGTTTTAAAGATATGTCGTTACAATAAGTCGTAGTGTATGTTTACAAGATGTCCACAAAGTTAACGATGTCTGCTACTGATATTTTAGTATGAATCATCACAAAACGGACGAGGTGAAACTTTATTGTTCCAAAATGGAGCCACAAGTAAGATATTAATGTTTTAATTACATAAAACAGTCTAGGTTTGTAAAAATGGATACAGGCAAATGTCATCGTACCCACAGTATCTCATCAATCGTTTCGTTTCATATCATCTCAGATTACCATTCCGAAAAATGGACCTACTGTTTGCCGGTGATGGAATACATGTTCGCAAGTTTTTTTCACCTCGTATGTTACACAACTTTCTCCCGTGATTGACAGCTGTATCGATATACTGGTATACGAATGAAGACCGAATATCATTTAAAAAAAGTTAAGTTTATAAACAAGTATGGCATTTTACAGATAAAGTGCTGTGATGATTTACTTGTTTTTGCATTACAAGAAAAACTTTTAGTAACGACAAACAGGCCGTGTAGTTATGTGTCAAAACGACCCAGTGTTAGACCGATGACGGAGATTGTATAGGTGTTGTTTTAGCTAAATAATTTTGATAAATAATTTCATAAGCATTTTTCCCTGATGACATTTCATAAGATAAGACTTTAATCTTGAACATTTTCTACACAAAACATCTGTTGGAAATATTGCACATTCTTTTCGTAAAATGACATTTATCTTTTACCGAAAATGCTGATTATCAATTATTCAGAATAGCAAGATGAGTAAGATGAAATCGTACATAGGCACTTGTTTCGAAAACATTTACATGTAGAAAGAAAATATGTCCTTTCTTTTGTTACCTACTACAATTTATTTATAACATAAAGCTAAATCCAACGTTAACATTTGTTAATGTTAATTAGCAACACAATGAAATGCGACATGAACAATTAATAACATCGTCTTCACAATATCCTTATCTACGTGTTTCTCTTAATTTAAATCAAATATTAACCTCATTAAAATGATATGTACGTAACATAGTCATTTGTATGTAGCTTGGATGAAATGGTAAACAAGTTATGCCTAACTTTTATAAAAAGCTTGCAGCTTAATGATATATCATCAAATTGAATAAAAGGTACTTAATTTTGTTGTAAAATGTGTATTTTCCCCATTATTTCTATCGTTATTCTTTACCAGATATCGGCTTGATGATCAGATATCAAATCTGCTGCCCGTCAAAATGTCCAGGTATATCCGTTAACCATTTTTCTCCTTTCTGTTATTTAGATGTAACACAGTTTTGATCGATTTGTAAATCTGCCAACACCGTATACTTCCTGTAGTTGTCAACCGTTTAAAGTGTTCCGTTAATAACACTGAAATGTTACACGTGAGATAAGTAGTAAACACGAAAAATGTGTTAGTCTAAAGAAATTCAGGAACCTTTTTCTGTCACATCCATTATCTGGATAAATGTTCGAGCGTAGCAAGTCTGACTGCGGGGGAACATTTTTGCTACAATTACCATTAAACAAAATGTTATTGTCATTGACATTAGAAAATAAATTGAAGTGAGTATCTACTTAATCTAATCATATCTGCTGTGAGCTTCCATTGTCCAGAAAACCTCTCCAAAACTGCAAGGTCTTTTCTTGTGGCTGTAATCTACGATTACTATCGCATTTTAACAGTCTCTTTGAGAGAAATCGGTCTGGATAAAAATTGTAACAAAATCTTATGCCAAGGTTAGATTCTATCTAACAAGCAAATTAGCATAGCGGGCATTCGACGTTTTCGCCTGCCACTTGACAAGAAGTAGATAGGAGTTGTATTTTAAGAGGCAATAATTGACAATATTTGTTCTGAGATTAAAATTCGCAAACATACAACCCCGCCCCATACCACCTGCAACATTCGGGAAATGCAAAAAAATCCTTAAATACGATCCTGGAATTTCTATTGAAAACAGAATGTATAAAGAAAATGTGTTTTATTATTTGCTGTTTATTTGCAGATTTAAGAAATAAGATATGTGGCTTGTCAAACGGTGTTTAGCGTCTGCCGTCGGCCTAGCATTTGATTGATGTATTGATGTATATTCCGGTATACATTACATCATCACCTTTCGCAGAGCCTGAGCCTGTCACGACACCCAGCTACACTCCCCACCCCTTCCACTCCCCCTCAGCCTTCCCTCCCCTGCCAGTCGACAATCGTCCCACTGTGTCGTTCCGCACGTATATCTATTCCATCGCGTAAATAAACATACAAGGAATTCCGCGTGCATCAAAGTTGCACAACATGAGAGCATGACGACAGTGAAGTATGAAAACATTCCTGCTATGTTAACTTACTTTATAAAACGAAACATCAAAAAATAAATAAATAAATTGAATGAATATTTAACTTCACAAACAGTGGCTTTATATTGACACTCAACTTTCGTCGTTCTTCAGCCGTGCATCAATAAAATAATATAAAAATAAACTAAGTGCTTGATGAACAAAATTCAATATATGAATCATACATAAAGTATTTAGGTATGAAAAGCAAAAATAAAAAAGGATATATTTCATAATCTTATACAAATAAAAATCACCTAAAATGTGTAAAATAATGTTAAACTATAACTTTACCTGTAGGTTTCCTTGTCCACGAATCGAAGTGAGATCCCTGTAAAACCACTATCGCTTTCAAGAGTGTTTACTGACGAATCAACGGCTTCATCCAGTCCAGATAGATGCGGAAACAAATGAACGACCGCCCACGTGACTCATCCGGTCTCGCGCCTATTCGCGGATTTATTTTTCCTCTCCAGTAGCCGTAGCTATGATGACGCGAAATTATATATGTTTGATATTTTAATCTCTTATCAACAAGAACTTTCCGGAAATGGTCAACTTCAACTTGTCGCGTATCCATGTATTGTATGGTGGCTAGTTTTTCCCTTGAGCTCAAAGTGGCACTTAGGACGGGTTTAAGTGTAGAAAGTTCTCAGTGGAACAAAGAACAGGGCGGACAGCTATACTTCACTACAATATTTGTCTTCTGTTATATTTACTATAGATAGACATCAAAATATATTAATGGGATTGGAAATAACAATTTACCTCTGAATCCTTAGTTTGTATCATATTATTCAAATTTTATTATTTATAAAAAGTTATTATATTTCAACAGACATATTCTCTACTGATAAAAGAGCATTTGTGTCGCTGATACTATGATTATCAACATTCAATATGTCACGTTTACACATGTGCTATGTGATTAATATTACAAATTCATACATTCTTTCCTTTCTGTACCAGAAATTCGTGGCCGACAATTGTTTTTTAATTTTCTTGATTCAAAAGACATCACGAGGTATTTGAGACCGGTGATTTATGTTGTGTATGGAACGCTTACCCTAATGGAACACCTCATTTCAACTTCTTATTCTCTTAATCACGAAAGAGATTTTCGACACGAGAATCATGTGTTTCGTGTCGAAGGTTGAAGTCTGATTTTGTCCTTGTGATTTGGCGCTTTGGTAAACTTGTTTCGTGCAATGTCAGATTGTGTCTTTTTGATTTGCTGCTTTGGTAAAAAAAATTCGTTTAAATGTCAGATTTTGTCCTTGTGATTTGGCGCTTTGGTAAACTTGTTTCGTGATATGACAAAGAGAGTTATTGTCCTCTTTTATAACACAAACAGAAATTCTCCCATAAAGAAGAAATGATATCACTCTTGAATACACCATAACTACGTCGACATTTAATGGACTGATGATTCTTTGGTTGTGTAAATCACAAGCATGAATTGGGTTTGACCTGTGCTAATTAGAATGATAAATAAAAATGATACATGTGCCTCAGCGTCAACAGTCAAGAACAAAATTAACATATTACACGGTAAAATTAAAATCGAGGTCAGATCGAAAAAGCAATAACAACGTGAACTCAAAAACCTGAAGGTGAAATCCAGTACTCAAGAATAGTTAGCGTACATGTTGTTAAAATTTGCCGTTTCTGATGGTATATAGAGTTACTACTAAAAAAATAGCATTCTATAGTGTTTGATTAGAATCAAAGCTTACATAGAATAACGGGCATACTTCACATATATTCGTTACATTTTGGTTTGAAAACTCAATCAAATTTTCAAAAAATAAGTAATGTGTATCATTCTTCAGCAGATTGTTTTCTTTGGAGTATGTTTTATTGGTTACGAACAAATAAGAAAGAAAACTTTAATATCACGCTCTGATAATAAGTATTATTAAGATAACTGAAATTCACGTTGGTCAATTCAGGGTGTCAATTACCAAAAGGTAACCTACATGGCTATAGCTGTAGGTTGAATTTTATAAAAACAAGTCGTCTTTTTATTTCAATCTAATAGTTAAATTTTGTAGACGCAGAATTTATTTAGAAGTTTACCCTAATGATATGAGTATGTCATTATTTTTCCTTCTTAAGTAATAAAATGTCAATATTTGTTTTCGATAAAAATAATGTTTACATTAAAAATATGTGCATTTTTATAACGATAGTGTTATCAACCCTCTGTCCTTCGCCTCCTGTCTGGGTCACTTTCTGTATTTATATTAAGATAGTGTTATTACCCCTCTGTCCTTCGCCTCCTGTCTGGGTCACTTTCTGTATATATATTACGATAGTGTTATCAACCCTTGGTCCTTCGCCTCCTGTCTGGGTCACTTTCTGTATTTATATTAAGATAGTGTTATCACCCCTCTGTCCTTCGCCTCCTGTCTGGGTCCTTTTCTGTATTTATATTACGATAGTGTTATCACCCCTCTGTCCTTCGCCTCCTGTCTGGGTCACTTTCTAGTCTTCATTTCCACACGAGTTTCATTGCTTTTTCAATCTCCATTTTTCGTGTCCCCAACAATATTTTCAATCATTCTCTCTGCATCGAAGTCTTCAGTCCACTTCCATACCATTGTCCAATGAATTATCTTTTCAGTTGAATATGTATACACAGAACATGGAGGAAAAGATGGAATGGGTGATGAAGTCGTGACGGCCACCAACGAAATATGATCATACCAATGACGGCCACTCCGAAAAAATGGACTAATAGTGTGTCAGAAGAAACAAGGAGGCATTAAATGTGTAGAAAAGAGTAGAACAAAAAAAAAAGATAAAAATCCAACCGTTGTAATGAGTTTAGCAAAAGATATGTAATGGTCTCTTCAATATCCCTCTAGAAGATGATGAAAAGTTAAATTGAAATAGACTCTTTGTGCGACTACACAGTAGGATATAATGCATGTATGTTTGTTCTCCGCACCTGCACAGGTAAACGGTTGGAAAGTGTTTCAATTAAACAAGTGTTGATTAATAGGTATGTGTGATTCTTCTGTAATGTAAACACCGTGGTATATGGTTACTTGAAAAAGGGGGTCAGCCGGAAGTTGTAGGACTGAGATGTTGATTGATCTCCGTCCTACTAAACAGTACTTTTGGTGTGATAAGACGTGTACTCATCAAGACCATACCCTAACATTTTGATTGTCAAGTTCCGTCAGGAAATACAAACTGTCGACTCATTGTCGAGCTATATATATCAAAGGTCATCTCGACGATTCATGTATAGGGTTCACAAAGATCTTTATTTCTACTGCCAGTCCACCAACAGTAGTCACTACACGCAATCAAAAATGCATCACTGTATACCCCTGTTTTTGTATTTTGTACTAGTTTGGGGATAGAATTGGATGTAGATTAAAATATTAAAACGTATCACATTAAAAGTGGTATTGATATTGATGGAAAAATACTAGTTCACACGTTGTTTATGCTTAACCGTACAACATACGGAAACAATGCATTGTTCTATCTGCCAGCTGGCCTGGTATACCAAAACAAAATGCTTCCTGTAATTTAAATATTTGTCGTTGTTTTTGTTTGTTTGTTTGTTTGTTTGTTTGTTTGTTTCATTTTATTCCCCTCAATATATTACCCTGTATGAAGAATGAGTCAGAGGTGGTCTGGCCTAGCCATTAGTCGACTTCTAAGTAAAAAATGGAATTATCGTTTTCTAAAGAATTCATATCATTACAATGAATTATTGATCAGCTTTATAGGATGTACAAAACATGTGTAGATTTAAACTCCATAGATTCAATGTTGGTACACCGCCGGTTATCGATAAATTCAATGTTGGTACACCGCCGGTTATCAATAAATTCAATGATGGTACACCGCCGGTTATCAATAAATTCAATGTTGGTACACCGCCGATTATCAATAGGTTCAGTGTTGGTACACCGTCGGTTATCAATAGATTCAATGTTGGTACACCGCCGATGATCAATAGATTCAATGTTGGTACACCGCCGATGATCAATAGATTCAATGTTGGTACACCGCCGGTTATCAATAGATTCAATGTTGGTACACCGCCGGTTATCAATAGATTCAATGTTGGTACACCGCCGGTTATCAATAGATTCAATGTTGGTACACCGCCGGTTATCAATAGATTCAATGTTGGTACACCGCCGGTTATCAATAGATTCAATGTTGGTACACCGCCGGTTATCAATAGATTCAATGTTGGTACACCGCCGGTTATCAATAGATTCAATGTTGGTACACCGCCGGTTATCAATAGATTCAATGTTGGTACACCGCCGGTTATCAATAGATTCAATGTTGGTACACCGCCGGTTATCAATAGATTCAATGTTGGTACACCGCCGGTTATCAATAGATTCAATGTTGGTACACCGCCGGTTATCAATAGATTCAATGTTGGTACACCGCCGGTTATCAATAGATTCAATGTTGGTACACCGCCGGTTATCAATAGATTCAATGTTGGTACACCGCCGGTTATCAATAGATTCAATGTTGGTACACCGCCGGTTATCAATAGATTCAATGTTGGTACACCGCCGGTTATCAATAGATTCAATGTTGGTACACCGCCGGTTATCAATAGATTCAATGTTGGTACACCGCCGGTTATCAATAGATTCAATGTTGGTACACCGCCGGTTATCAATAGATTCAATGTTGGTACACCGCCGGTTATCAATAGATTCAATGTTGGTACACCGCCGGTTATCAATAGATTCAATGTTGGTACACCGCCGGTTATCAATAGATTCAATGTTGGTACACCGCCGATGATCAATAGATTCAATGTTGGTACACCGCCGGTTATCAATAGATTCAATGTTGGTACACCGCCGGTTATCAATAGATTCAATGTTGGTACACCGCCGGTTATCAATAGATTCAATGTTGGTACACCGCCGGTTATCAATAGATTCAATGTTGGTACACCGCCGGTTATCAATAGATTCAATGTTGGTACACCGCCGGTTATCAATAGATTCAATGTTGGTACACCGCCGGTTATCAATAGATTCAATGTTGGTACACCGCCGGTTATCAATAGATTCAATGTTGGTACACCGCCGGTTATCAATAGATTCAATGTTGGTACACCGCCGGTTATCAATAGATTCAATGTTGGTACACCGCCGGTTATCAATAGATTCAATGTTGGTACACCGCCGGTTATCAATAGATTCAATGTTGGTACACCGCCGGTTATCAATAGATTCAATGTTGGTACACCGCCGGTTATCAAGTTTGTATAACGTTTTGATAACATGTCGCACGTTGGTTTACACTACCATAAGTGTAATCATATTAAGTTAAGGTTACATTGCATTAAAATCGATTTCGAATGATATTAATGTACGAATTAACTCTTTAAAAGAATATTCATCTGATAGTTCAATATTCATAGAGCGCTGA